CGGCTACTCGGAGAGGGGAGGGAGCGGCGTGCGCTGTGGCAGGGTGACCCCTGCAGTCTTCCAGAGTTAAATGCGCCAGTAGTTGTACCAGCATCTTCTGCGTTCAAGGTCAAAATCCATCCTCAGGCCCTGAAATTAGGGAGTTTTAATGGGCATGTAGAAATTTGACGGGGAAACTTAGTGGGCAGATTTTATATCTCCTGTAACCCCCCAGGTCTCAACAGAAGGGCAGTTCCCTGCTCCTGTAACTGGAGGAGCATGCGTTTCTTTGGCGGCTGTGTTTGACCCTCGGCTGCGGGCTGCCAGTGCTTGGACTGCTGCAAACGGCAGAAAACTGCTGAGCTGGAAATTCTGATGTGCCTGAGGGGCTTTACCTCTTCTTGTTAACACTTTTTCCCGTCTATGAATAAATAAAGCTTATGGCCACTGCCTTTTTTTTTTTTAATCTTATCTGAGTTTATTCTTAGTAACACTAAAATCCATCGTTTACAAGCTAATAACTCAGACATGTTTACAATACCCGTGGTTGGTGTGTTGCCAACCATTCAGCTTGCTTCTCATCTTTTAGTGAGTTTTACTAATTTTCTGCTGGTGAAACTCCAGGCAAATCTCAGTTGACTTCTCTCACAGTTAGTTTTAACTTCCAAACAGAACACATAATTTGGTCTCTTGGCTTTTCTTCTTTTTTGAGGGGGAACAGACAGTTGGTTAAAAATGCATTTTTGTTTTTTTTATTTTGTGACTAAGCTCATTTCCACTTCGAAATAGAGGACCTGCCTTGGTGATTTTTTGTTTCGTTGGTCTTTTTAATGTGTGCATCTACTTAGCTTTTAAAAGGAGAAGTTTCAAATCTCAGACTACACCCAAATTCCTCAGATTAACAGTACCAACACACCTAGATTAATGGAGTTCTCAGGTAAAACCCTGTTCTCAGCTTTCTATGAAGCTTCAGGATGGCAGAAGGCCAATATCAGACTATGTAACAATATTATTATGTAGTTTAAGGACTACATCTCAAACTAAATTTGTAATCTGTACATATATCAGTAAAATCAGGGTGCTACTTCCAAGTAGGTAAGCTCACTCTGCAGCAGGATTTCAGCTGTTTGGCGCCAAGTTTATTCCAAAGTCTTGGTAATTTATTGTTTTTTACTCTTCACCTTTCACCGAGCAAGATGTACTCTTCAAATTTTGTGTTCAAAACTGCCTTTTGATCTAGAAATACAAGTTCCACTGTTTTTAGCATACCTTGCCGTTCCTCTATGTGAATGTACACTGTTTCAGGCTTTTTAACATCATGTAAATATCAAATGAGCAATGTAAGGATAATGAACAAATCAGAAGCGCAGTGGCTTTTAGAAAGGCAGTTAAGCTGAAGTAAGCTTCTCTTGTATCAGTTCAGTACTGACAGAGCTGGAATGAAAATGGCAACAACTGGACTCAGAACTTACCGCAATTTAACAACTCACTTGGGGCAGGGTGATGGCAGCCTGCATCTGTTATGTGATAATAGATGCTAACTTTACACTCACTGTCTTTCACTAACAGCTCAGAGTCAAGGATTTATTATGATCAGACCTTGAGTCCAGAGGCCAGCTGTGAAGAATAGGTATGTTTAGTGGATGCTACTTATTACTGTGCATCCCTCTTGTCTACGGAAGGGTTTTGATTCAGGCAAACATTTTCCACTTCATATAGAATTGATATTTTGTAAGTAAAATACAAGAATATTTTCAATACTTTTTAACACACAGCAATGATAGAATAAATTGAGTGTTATGCTCAGTAAAGTATAGCTAAACAGTCATAAAGCTTTCAGGCTATGGACTCCAGAATGGCTGTGCGTCCTGCCCATTGCATTCAACATCTGTGTCTGCGCGTGCTAGCCATTTCCCTGGCCCTTTGTCTCTGTCTCCTCGATGATACTGCTGCTATGGTGAAAAATAGAGAGAAAGAACAACAGGATATTGTCCAATTCTGGTCTGTGTGCCAACAGTGACAAAATGTTGTTTTCTCCTCGGTTTGGGGATTCTTGTTGGCTTTTCATTAGTCCTGGGCGAGTCTGAACACATGAAGATGTTTTTTAAATTCTTGCAGTTAGTGTGGAAACCTTGAGTCTTCTGGAGGAAGGTGGTGTCCCGTGCCCTGGCGCAGACATTCCTGTCCTGGAGGATGATACCCTGACTCATGCAGAGGAAAAGAAGAGTTCTGTTGTAAAACACAACAGGAAGGCGTCCAGTGCTGCTGCGTGCCAGGAGGACACCTGCAGAGCTGCCGCAGGGGTGGAAGTGAGCCACAGGCTGTATGGATAGCTCTGGGAAAACTGCACGGCTGCACAAATCTGACGCCAAACTAGGGCGCTATTTTTGGTTTCCGTTCTGCTTTTCTGACACCTGTAGGTAAGCGTGAAGTGCGCAACAGACTTCTGCGGCACCTTACAGAGCGAAGGAACCATCGCAGGGTATGGGATCACCGTGAAGTGTTCTTGCTTAGCAATCAGGATTAATTATAACCCAGGAATATGAACTGTAAATGCGCTGGAGTTGCCAAGACAGAAGCTGGCTGCGTGCCAGCGCTTGAATGAGGACGAACTGTCCCATCAGGACTCCCGGGGAGCAATAGGTAACACCCAGGTATGCATGGAGCCCCACGGGGGTAGATGGCCAAATACCAGGGGGTATGGCGGGAGGAGAGTGGGCGTTCGACCGTTATTTCGGGCTGGGGATGTTTCTAATTCAATGCTCGTCTCAGACTGCTTTCAGAATAGGTTATTAAGGTACAGTGACACAGTTCATGATTTTAAAGAAAATCTTAGCTTTGATATAGTCTCCTTAACATGAAATAAACCCCCGAAATCTGCAACTAATGTGAAGTATAGGCAAAAGCTTTGGCTTCTGCGTGTTGTTATGGTTGTGTGGGCCACTGTCCCTCTTTGCTGCACCCAAACCAGTGGTGATAAAGACCATTGTGAGAGGATGAAGTGAGGTGAAAAATGGTAATTGAGCCAGATAATGGGTTGCATTAAAACCACCCAGGATAAAATGGAATAATGTATGACACATTCTCCAATAAAATATCATATAGGCCACCTAAAGCTGAGGCAAACATAACAAACACTTTGAAAGATAAATGGCAGAGATTTAAAAGATCTTCTTGAAGTGTGAGAAGTGATGAAGTGTAAGAAAACTACAAAGGTGAAAGGAATAGATGTGCTAATTACATAATTGTGGGACTACATAAGAAATGCCTGTGAAGGGGGAAGCTTATGCTGTTTCGTTGCGAATGCTTCAGTGAGGGTTCAGAAAGGCTGAACTGATGAAGCTGTAACTTCTGTTAAGCTGAAAGCTTTTCAAAAAAGCCCTTGTTTATAAATTAATGTGTTACAATATTGTTTTAATTACCTGGGGTATGAAAAAGTTGATGTGAAAGGCTACTCTATAGCCTTGGGTTTAGATCTGAAGGAAGATATTAAAAGGAAAGAAGTTAGTAACCACTAAAAAGTTGGGGTTTATCATAGTTTCAGGGCACCAAAAATCAGCAAGTTTCCTGGTTGTGCGTCCAGTTCAGAAGTGCTTTTGTACGTTTTAGCTCTAGGCTCTGTCTGATGAATGTTTTCTCATTGGTGATATACAAAGCTTTTTTTTTTTTTTTTTTTTTTTTTTTTTTTTCCGTGATACTCTTTTAAGGGCTTTTTGGAGTTGTAGATTATTCTTTACTTTGAGCCTTTCTATGTGTAAGAAGAGTAACTATATCAGATGTAAGAAGGAAGCTTTCTTTTGCATCTGTTTGTAAATGTTAAGCATTCAATCTCTTACGCTTCAAAGCTATTTTGTTTCAAAATACTAAATAGTTCATTGGCTAGCTGTGACTGCAATCAGATCACAGACTGTTAAACAAGACCCAACTTAATTCTAGTATTGCTTTTATTATGCTTCTGTAGAGAAACCAGAACTTATACTACTGTCTAGGAGTAAATGTGCAGAGTTCTTAATCCTGATTTCTGACCCGAACATACTGATTTTAAATTGTTGCTACTCTTTTGTCCAAGTATGTTTAAGAATTTTACAGTCTTGTTGTAGTCTTCTGAATGTCTGTTGCTCAATAACTGTTGCAAGACTTTGATATACTTTAGTATAAACTTAAATAATAATCTCTTTGCAGGTGTAATCATCAGATGCTTTCTGTGATCTTTACCCGTGAATCTGCTCGAGCAGTTTCTTCTTAGCCGCACTTTAGGGGCTGCACGCTGGTCCTCGAACTGCTTTAACTCCCAGAGAAATAATTACACTTAACAAGACCTTATTACCTACTGAAAAATATAATGACTGAATTCCTGGTTTGTTTTAATTGGTGCAATGGTGAACAGCCCCAGCCGGTAGGTAGATGCACAACCGCCATCTGTTATCAGATTTGAAATTTTGCCTTTCAGTTATGTGGAAAAGACTTTCATTGTCGTATTATTTTTATTAGTTTGGGCTAAGTAATGCAAAAGCTAAAAATGGGCCTGTTAAACTGTTTAAACTATGTGTGTTTTGCTGGAAACTTTGGCCATATGACTGTTTGCAGTTCTTAAGCCCTGACTTTCCAACGTTAAAGACAGTTTTTGCAAAAATTCAAGTAGTAGCAATGCAGTAATAAAAGTGCCTTTGACCTTTTCTTATTGCAAACAGTCTGAAACTTCAGCCCAGTTGCCAGGAGGAGTCATTAGGGGTCGGTACTGACTGTCTTTTTTTTTTAACTCAGCTACTTGTTTCTGTCTGAAAGCTGCTTATGTATTCTGAACAGAGACCCAGGATATCTTCTTTCTTACAGAAGAGGCGTCGGAGACTGGACCGGAATATGATAGGAGAACCAATGAACTTTGTACACACTGCACATGTTGGGGCAAGAGAGATGAGTAGTGACTATTCATCAGTAAGTGTGCGTCTCTTGGATAAGCAGGAATCTCTACTCAGTAACCTGTAGAGCAGGTAGCTAATAAAATACTAGATAATTGTAAGAGAGAGAAAAATATTTTTTAAAAATTTTTTTATTAATGGAATAACATCAGAACAGAACTGCCCTTTGGTTTGTAAACATAAGATACTGTGGAAGATAGATACATTCAGCAAGAGGTGCTCATTTCCCCAGTATCTTTACATATGATGGGACCTTTTGGATAAGGATTCTGTGGATGCTCTTGATACTGGGCCCCGATAACACATCACCCTGAAGTCAAAGCTGTGCCAGGGTGAGGGATGTAAGAATAAGATGATTTTGGATAGCAAGACCCATCTCATGCACTGAATTAAAATAGTATTTAACAATCCTGGGTTTAGTTGTTATTTCTCCCTACTTCCGCTGTGACCCAGCACTGTAGACGTATGGCTCAGCTGCTTCTTCAAATTGATGCTTTTCATGCTCGCGCTGGCAACCAGACTTTATAAGATGTGCATTCTAATAAACTTTTTTCTAGGCTGTGTCAATTCAGGACCACATGAAGTCTAAAGGTGGCTACACAAATGGCACTTCTGCGACTGTTGAGATATAGGAAACTGAGAGAAGGCTGAAATCTGCTGTGTCTTATGAGGACCCTCTGGACTGTGCTTTCATATTCTCTAAAACCTCTTTATCACGGAGTAGGGAGAGTACTTGAAATATAAATAGGTCAGTGCAAGCTTTGGTGTTCTTTGCACAATAGCTTCTGAAGGAGTTATTGTAAATTATCCTTAAAATATGGTAGTCATGGTAGTGTTGTAGTAGAAACTGTAATTTGTCACTGTGGATGACTTCCTAGCTGTGTCCCAAAAACCTCACAAAATCATATTGTAGGATGGGATTGGAAGTCAGCATGAATTGTCTAGATGTTTGGTCTCTGTCTTTTTTTCCCATCAAGAAATGCAGAGGTTGATTTACTGGAAGACATCACGTTTGCATTTGTTACATGGACTAAACCGAATTGTGAAGTAGGATCTTGTAGCCTGTAATATAGCTTTGAACCTGTTCTTTAGATGACTTTCAACCTAATGCTTAAGTCTACTGACCTATACTTTGGTATTTTTTTAATATCTTTTGATGGTGAATGAACTCTAACTCAGTATCGTTAGCCGAGTCTGCAAAACCCAGTGAAACTTCTGCCTTGCTGTGATAATGCTTTTGTAGCTAAAAATCGAGGTTTCACAAACATACCTACGCTCAAATGAGGCTCAGAAAAACAGACATTTCTATCAATTCCTGGGCTGCCTCCCTTCCATACATGCAGTAGCGTGACTGACAGCTATTGCTACAACAGCTATGTACTGGCTAACCTCAAGTGGTGCTACAATATGCTCACAACTGTGTTAATTTTGCATGACTACTATTGGATTTTAAACTAAACATATTTAAGATCACTCTGTTACCTATCTGTAACAGTAACTGCACAGGACTTCAAGGGATATCTCGCTTGTCTTTCTGGCTCTTTAATTTTGAGACTGGGTTTGTTTGGGGTTTTTATTAACTGAAGTTTATCTTGCATATGGTTTAAATAAAAAGTATGGTTCAAGTGATACAGCCATGCAAAGGACAGAAGTTTAAAGAATAATGTGAAAACTTGCAGGAGAATATTAAATGGAAA